ACACACACACACACACACAAACACCAGGAGACTGGTAGAGTAGTGGAGGATGTGTGGGGTTGCTAACCAAAAGGTCAGCAGTTCAAATCCACCAGGCACACGAGAGTCACTAAGAGGCCAAACTGACTCCATGACACTTTACAACGAACAACAAAATATATATATTACTGTTTATTATTAAGTGCCATGGAGTCAGTTCTGACTCGTATATATATTTATGTGTGTGTGTGTGTTAGAAAACTTCCCAAGTCCCCTAAATTTTCACCTAGAACTAATTGTTGTCTTGCCATGAGTTCCAATTTTGAGACTTGAATATTTTGTTAGGGATAATTTCTTTAGATAATTAAATCAGAAAATCATTATATAATTATTATAATTGTGTGTATATATATATAATTCAAATTGGAAACGGAGTACAGATTTTACATATATATATATGTAAAATATATATATATATGTAAAATCTGTACTCCGTTTCCAATTTGAATTGTCAGAATATATAGCATTTTAGCATCTTTTAGCATAATTTAAGGTAGTGCTTAAGTTGTAGCATTTTTTCATCAATACAATTAACAATCATGAAGCTAAAATGTTGTTTAATTTTTGTTTTCTCATTGTGTAAATAATAACTCAAGAATTATTCATTCTTTAACTGTCATACAGTTACCAGCACACCTAAGACCTATATAGAAATCCTTTATAAGATAAAGTGTTTTGTGAGACTACAGAAGTCCTCAATAAAGGTCAATACAATGAAACCAGTTACCATTTTTCTCGTAAACAGCATCTACTTTGTCACCAATTCCTGGGAAGTCCTCTTCTATTAGTCTGGGGTAGTCTTTATCCATAATATGATTATTATCATCATAACTAATAAGAAAGAGAAATTCTTAAGTAGATTATATTACTTATACATTTTCTTAGAAATATTATAGTGAATATAATGGCACCTTTCAAAATTGACTAGGATTTTAAGAGTTCAAGTCCATTAAAAAAAATACAATAGCTTTAAAATTTATGAATTACAATACTGACTATACAGTGGGCCATTGGTGAATATTTATTGAGTTGTTCAAACGCCACCTTTGTAAAGCTAGTTACAAACTCATCTCCCATTTCAAAAATTACTATAAATCATGTCATTTAAGAAATGTTTTTAGAGTAAAACAAATACAACTTTATTAACTGAACAACTACCTGTTGATAACCTATTATGTGCAAGACAACTTGCTAAATTCGGTAATGGATACAAAAGTATATAAGATTTTATTTCTGTACTTAAATGTTACAGGGGGTATGGTGGAGCTAAATTTTCATATCCCATATTCCTACTCCTCTGACTACACCTACACCTTGGCCAACCATAAGCATTTTTTTTTTTTAATTTAATCTATTTAAAAATTTTACTGCCTTCCCTGTCACCCAACTTACCACATGTCCACCCTCTAGCCAATGAATAATTCTCCCTTCCCTCCCACCCATGGTAACCATCATAGAATGCTGTGCAGTTTAGCATAAAAATCTTTTCTTGACTTTTACAACATTGGTCTCATACAATATTTGTTTGTTTATTATTACATTCAAAGATATTTTGAAATATCTTAAAAGAACTGATTCCCATAATGTTCAACTATTCCGAGTGAGAGTATTTAATATTTCTGAGATACCTTCAATAACTAAAAGGTAATAGGTACTATACTACTAAGAAGCAAGGTGGGCACACACTTAACTGCAGCAGCAGACAACAGAAGAGAAGCATCAATAAAGAGTAAATATCAAGTGTCATCTGAGCACAGGGGAAGGGTTTGGTAACCTTATGATGAGGTGTTCAGAAAAGACTTTGCAAATGAAATAGTAATTTAAAAGAAGTTTACAAATGGGTAGAACTTTAAGAGAGGGAGGTGTAGGAAAAGAGTTTCCAGTAAAGAAAATTGCCAGGGAAGGTTTAGGGGAGTGAAAGCACAAAGCATTTGAGACACAGTAAGCAATCCACCTTGACTGGATCAGATATTTCATATAGGGGTGTAGGGACTAGAAGGGTAGCCTGGTAGTAATGTTTATGAATGTCATTATCAGAAAAAAAGAAGTCAAACTCCAAACAATGATACTCAGGTCTGTGTGTATGTATGTGTATAGAGATGGGGTAAAACTTCCATTATAGATAATTCCACTGTTGGATATTTTTGGATTATCCTCTATTGAAACATAGATATGCACCTCCTAAATGTCACTAATGTCAATATTGCCTTAATTTCTACATTTGTATTATAGAAATTTCAGCTCTACTTGCTCTTCTGAATGACGCTGACTTCACACACTACTGATTTAGCAGCTTTCTGGCCAGCTTCCCCCAATGGTCACCCAATTCTGTAGAAATTACCATCTCCTGTCAATCAATCTTTTCCTATAGTTATTCAGACATTCTCTTTGGCCAGAAAAGATGGAGCCACGTGTGAATTAGGAGAGAATGACAAGAAAGAGAATCCAGGAGAAAGATGGGAAGGAATAAAGGCGCCATCGTAAAAGAGATGCTTTTGTAACGGTTGAGGCACAACTAGAGACTAAGAAAGGAGAGAGTGGCTGAGAAGAGGTGAGTGTTATATGTACGTATGTGTTTTAAGAGGACTTAAGACTTTTAAAGGTCTGTCTACAAGTCTGTCTGAAATAACTGACATGGAACGAAAAAGAGGGACTGATTTAGCATATTAAATGATGTTCTGTTGAATCACTGAGATGAAACAAAGTGTCTGAGTTGTTGACTCTAAAGCTCATTATCTTGTCTGCAAATCTTCACTTAATCCACAAGAAAAAGTTGGAAATAAATAATAAATGTCCTGTTGCTGATGTGTTGTTAAGTGCCACTGAGTCAGGTTTCCGAGGCTGTAAATCTTTACAGAAACAGAAAACCTCATCTTTCTTCCACAGCTCAGTTAAATGGCTTGAACTGCCAACCTTGTGGTTAGCAGTCCAGTGCTCATCTTACAGCTCCACCTCGCTCCTAAACAATGCAATAAGATTATAATTTATAACAGTGAGAGACAAACTTTGCCTCTATGATACAATGTGGATCAGTCTCTATAGCAGCCATACCTCCAGACTTGGTTTCCTGAGAACAAGAGAGTCTTGTCTGTGGCTTCAATGTGAACAGCTGCACTTATCTTTTTAACCTCTTTTGGAAATCCCAGTTCAGATATTTTTTTGGGATAACCTTCCAGAATATCATAACCATTAAGAGCCCAAAATTTTCTTGCTGAAATAAAGGTAAAGAATAATTTTACTTTCCTAGGAAATCTGTCAGAATTCATGAATTTAGGCATTTAACAATGAAAGGCTCACATATTTAGAAACAAAGTCTTCAATATTTGCAATCACCATGCTTATGAAACACACAAATGTGAGCGTTCTACAAGCAGAGTTTAAATCACTTTAAAATCCTGATTTCCTATTTATGAGCACAGCCATCCAAATATAAATATCTGGCAATTTGTTATTTATGAGTATTCAGTTTAGAGATGAATGAAAAAATATATTTAAAAATTTACATGAAAAAAGCACAGTAGGTACAGTAAATTAGAAATTGAAAACTAAAACTGTATACTATCCAGAATTCCAATTCATTCTCTAAAAGTACCTTCATTGTAGCATTAATTACCATAGTTAAATAACAGAAATAAGTTAACATGTAGAATGTAGAATGTTATGCAATGGTGGTTGGTAGTTATATGCCATGGAGTCCAGTCCAACTCAGAGCAACCCTGTATAGGGTTTCCAAGGGAGTAAATCTTCACAGGAGCACAAAGCCTCATCTTTTTCTCATGGAGCGGCTGATGGATTCAAACTGCTGACCTTGAGGTTAGCAGCCCAACTTGTAACCCACTACATTACCAAAGCTCCTTATAAATTATAATCACGAAGATGGAATACTAATTTGAAAAACTTTTCATGATTTTATTTCAAGGAAATGAATAGAATATAAAAAATATCTGTACAGTGTAGAAAATGTATCTACACTGTAAATACAAGGACTAGAAAAGAACGTGAGAAAATTAAAAAAAAGATTTTCTACAAATGTAGAATTATGAGTAATAGTTTTTTTTTCCAATTCTCCCAAATGTGCATTATTACAATGTTTGTGTGGTAAATAATTTTTAAGGTGATCTAAGGGAAAAAAAAACTGACATTATTGCTATAAAACTAAGAGGACATGATAAATAATAATGTGGGATTTTTGCATGTCAGATTGGGAATATTTGGTAAAATGGCTTCAGGTGCTTTCTGGTTTCTCTTTGTTATCCTTGATTCTTAATTTTGGTATATTTTCAATTATGGGTTTTCTATTTGCTAAATCTCTGGTAGCATCAAGTTCTCCACTGCCAATCTGGAGATGTGAGAAGCCTCAACTTTGGAAGGCTTACCTCTAAAGATGAAGATAAGATCATGTGATGGATGCTCATATGCAGCATCAATACGGTTGGGAAGTTCAGGCCAAAACGATTTTGTTAAAAACAGTTCCGCCTCAACCTGCTGAGGATGCAGGCGCCAGAAGAATCTAACACAAAAGTAGAATACAGAGTTTACAGAGTAAACATGTATATTTTAATGGGATGTTTCTATCCCTCTAGCGATCTAGCTTCACATCATTGCAGATAGTCATAAACAACCATTTCCTAGCATTTGTGAAGGGGGGAGAAAGGAATCCATTCTCTTTTTAAGTTACAAATTATCTGTACCTTATCTCTAGACTAAGGTATTAAAGTTTAAAATATCACAGTCTCTGAGAAGATTTTAAGTCCTTGGTGGGTTGAGACCATGCTTTGTTTGGTTTTGCATGTCTTACAAGTGGCAAGCAAATGTGCCAGGTGCTACCTTGGGCTCTGGAAATATACAAATGATGTCTCCCCTGACCCATGGCTTAGGGAGACTGATAGAGAGAGAACACTTGGATAATGTAGTTAAAACTGTACTAGAGAAGATGGGAATGCGATTGTATTACAGACGGGGTGCAATTAATTGATGAATGAATGAATGAATGAATGAATAAACATATTAGAAATATTGAGAAATAAAGTATTTTACTTTTAAGTACCTATAGCTCCAGAGTTACAAAAGCAATCTCCTTCCAAATTCTGACATGTTTATAGAACCAGTTTTTCCATACCAAAAGGAGCTAAGGTGGCATTTTGAGTAACACAGGAATTATTTTCAATACTTATCTATCTCTTCACTCAATTTGAGTTTCTATATTTACTTGATTATCTTTGTGAAAAATATTTACAACCAAAGATGTAAAAAGAAGGGGCAAAATGTCAAAATTATCCATTGGAAAGTAAAATGTTCATCCATCATTTATTTGATCCAAATATGCAAATGAACTGCCCAAGGTCTATTATTTTTACTGCTAATTTCAGATTTAATAGTTTGGCTGGATATTTTGGTAATTTGCACACACAACTTCATAGATGTTTGGCACATGCAGGTTTAATTAAAAAAAAAAAAAAAAAAGTTTACCTGTCTTTAAAGACCATTGTTTCTCCTCGGAGGCTAGTAATGGCATCAAGGGATAAGGAGGGATCACATTTGTCTGGAGTTTTGGGATGTTTAGGGTTAGGATCTTCATCTCCTGGACCTGAAGCAGTGAATGAATAAAAGAAGTTCCTGATAGTGAACATACTGATGACACCTGTCTCAGCTCACTGAGCAGGCTGATTCTGCTCATAGGGAGTAAGAGAAGCTCTGCAGGGAAGCAGTAAGTCCTGAGGTTCCCACATAGAAGCACCAATCCTGCACTGCTACTTCCTTCATCAAGGGTTATTAAGGTCTTACAGCTGGGGATGACCTTTCTCCTTTCATTCTTTAGGGCCTCTAGAGATTCAACTTAACCATAAATTTAGGGTTTGGGATTTGACGATAGAAACAGAGAGATAAAAAAAACAAAAGACTTTTAAAAAAATTCTCCACACTTTGAAGTATGAAAACCAGATTCTTCTTCAATCCATTTCTGAAGGTTCATCATCAACATATGGGAACTCACACCTCTTCCCCTTTTCTTACCTATTTTAGCAATTGTCAATACTGACTAACATTTTATCAGTATGCCGCAATGCAGCTTCATTGGAGGCATAAACCAGGTCTTCTACAACTTTGATATTACTTGCCACAGGTTTGAAATTCTTCTACCAGCTTACAGGCATGATCATGAGGTCCAATGCACAGAAATAGTTCTACAATACTTGTTCTCTATCTAGTTCAGATAAGTCCTATCTTCAGTCCCTTGGTCTGAACAATATGGTTGACATAATAAGAATTGTAAAATAAATTGGCAAATTCTCTTTGCAATCAGTCAGCTCAAATCACCACACTTACATTAGCTGCTTGTTAGGGTGGCATGAGTATATTTTCAGAGCTACGGTTCTAACAGTGTTTACATTGTTAAACTGTGTACTGTAGTTTTCACTCTGTTCATGACAGACACACTTTCTTGTTTGGATTGAGGTTAAATAATTTTGTAAGTGTGTAAGAAAAAAGATAGACATTCTTACAACAGTTGCTATATATGCTAATTAAAAACCACCACAGACCACTTAAGCAGTTTCTACGATGGCAAACTGGAGTGTTTGAAAGAATACTTGGAATTTATTAAAACTGGTTAAGATCTCACATTCACCATCAGTTGTGTGAATAACCTAAAAACCAGTTGTCATCAAGTCAGTTTCATATCCATACACTTTAGAGTAGAACTGTGCTCCTCAGGTTCTCATGGCTGTGACTTTTCAGAAAGAGACTATCAAGCCCATCTTCTGAGACACCTCTAGGAGGTTTGAACCATCAACCTCTAGGTTATTAGCCGAGCACTTAACTATTTGAGCCACCCAGGGACTCACATTGTGTGACTAGAGGAACACCATCTAAACTCTCTGAGACTTAGTTTTCTCATTGGTTAAATGGGGAGTAAAATATTTTCCTTCCTTATCTCAGAGGTGTCTTGAAAACAAACATACCTTATAAGATGTATAATACAAATAAAAGGAATTGTAATCTGCCAAGAAACCTTGAAGAATGGAATATTTTCTACTTAAGTAGGTAGTTTGACTTGGTAAAATAAAGAAATGAGTATGTTTACCTAGGTTTTAGTAATAAAACCAGGATAGTATTATGGACAATGGTAAATTCGCCAGTAATTTAGAAAACAAATATATGTATCTATGCCGCTTTTACATTGACAACTTAAGAGTTACCATAGAGAGCCTGGATCCCTTGAACATCATCATCAGGAAGTACAAAGTGGCCTTTGCCAGTGTAGGTATAGATGGGAAACATGAGTGCTCCTGGGTCCTTGGAGTGGTCAAGGCCTAAGGAGTGACCAAACTCATGGGCAGCAACAAGGAACAGGTTGTAGCCTATAAAAAGAAAAAGAAATAACATCTTCTTCATCTATTTGGCTTTCTGTTTCTTTGTTCTCCCACTCAGGTATTAAAATTAATATTTAGTTGCTTGAAGAAAGATTCAAATTATTGAATCCTTATAAGCAATTTAGTGACCTCTTTAATTGCACCTGCCTATACAATTTGAAGGAGTCCTGGTGTGGTGCTGTAGGCTAATGCTTCAGACTGCAAAGTCATTTGACTGCAAGGTCAGTAGTTCAAGCTTATCAACTGCTCCTTGGAAACCCTATACAGAGTTACTATGAGTCAGAATTGACTAAATGGCACTTAACAATAACAACATACAATTTGAAGAGTCCTGCAATGGCGCTATAGCATAAGCACTAGACTGCTAACTGAAAGGTTGTTCAAACCCATCAGCCACTCCTCAGAAACCCAATACAGGGTTGCTATAAGTGGAACTGACTCCACGGCACTTAATAACAGCATGAGACTTGAATGTCGACAGTTAGCTCTCAAGTAACCAGAGACTTATTGTGAAAACACTCGTAATCCTGAGATGCTTTCTATTGTGAAAACACTAGAATTCTGATATGTTGTTTGCCCTCTCTAGGTCAGGTGAGAAAAAAACGACAGTTATTAAATGAGAAGTGGAGAAAATCACACCGGATAGTACTTAGCAAGGGTGCTGCCAGCAGGAGGAAGCATCCAAAGGGATAATGACCAAGTATGGAGGATGCACTAAACAGGGTTACTTGGGAACAAATGCTATCTAGGTGATTCTTTCCAGAATCTCTCTACTCTAAACTCTAGGAAAAATGATTGGTGAACATTATTCTGGAAAACTATCATGCTCCCTCTAGTCATGTGTTCTGGCAATTTTTGAGTCTCCTAATACTGGTATTTAAGTTGGAGAGAAGCATAATAAAATATTGAAAGAAGAATAAAATTAACAAAATACTAGAGATGATTTTCACTTCTGCATTAAGTACACCAAAGTCTATGGTTTCAATTTGACCTCAAATAGCCTTGGTCATAATAGTCTGGAACACAGTGGCTCTGCAGGATAAGTACTAGACTGTGAACCACAAGGTCAGCGGGTCAAACCCACCAGTCACTCCACAGGAGAACAATGAGGATTTCTGTTCCCACAAAGATTTACAGCCTCAGAAACCTTTACTGGGTCACTATGAGTCAAAACTGACTTGACAGCACTTAACAACAACATCACAGTCTATGAATTAAGAACCAACTCCACAGCACATAACAACAACAATTTCTTACCAGAGGGCTCACTATCCAATATCATTGACTAGCCCATGAGTTCTAGTTTTATAAGAAGTATTACCTTTAGAACTACTTGTCCAGGTTTCATCATCATCAAAATGAGCATCTCCTCCAAAATCTGGACCAGGAGGAAAAGCATGAGCCAGCAGACCAGAGGGTCCATCAAATGGGTAAAAGTCACCATGTTCTACATACAAAAGCAAGAGTTAGGAATATGATTACACCTAGTAGAACTTGGGAAGATTCATTGAATACTATACAATGTAACGAATGACTGAAAAATGGACTGTAAGAATGAAACCAACTAAGAAATGGAAATACCAAAAAATGTCTTAAAAATGGCTCTGCTTTATTACCTTTAGTTCCAAAAGAGATCATGATGTCAGCAGTGCCATTGTGAAGTCTAGTAAAATTCAGAGGTGTCACATCAGACCAAACTTTGAAGGCTTTTCGGAAAGCTTTGTCAACTTCAGAATGAGTCAGGTCTGGAGTATAATTCACAATCCTATATCACAGAGAAAATTCCAGTTACATTTTTGGAAGGTGAAAGTTATTTTGAATATATTTTCTTAGTAGTTCGATTTCAACTAAATACAGTAGTCATTTGAAAACTCTATGAAAGGTCCATTGTTTTAAAAAATGTATTAATTATTACACTATTTTTAAAAAGCTGCAATTGATCTGACTCTGATCTATGGCAACCCCATGAGTGTCAGAGTAGAACTATACGCCATAGTAGTCTCAATGGTTGATTTTTTGTAACTAGATTGCCAGCCCTTTATTCTGAGGAGACTCTCGATGGATTCAAACTTTCAACCTTTTAGCTAACAGTTCACCTACTCTTTCCACCACTGAGGGCTCCTATTATACCATACAGTGATGAATTCAATCAAACATTTTCTTATTTCCAAGTATCTGACCATTTAGCATCTTATATTTTAAATATTCTAATGTTTAATAGGACCTATTTTGTACCCTAGAATTTTTTAATTTTATTAAAATGGACAAGTAAATTAATTACCTCTGTAAAGTTCCTAGAGAGAAAATAAGTACAATTCATCATCTTTAGCACTATTGCGATCAATACACTTGAATTACAATATTTGCAAATTTTCTTAAGCTTATTTTTCCTTCTATGTTGATTTCATTTCTATAAGAAATAGCTCAGATAATACAGATTTCCACTGAAAAATAATGCTGGGCTAACTTAACAATAATAGATGTTACGAGTTACTCTCCTCAAAAGTACTAGTGTTATCTCTGGCAGACTAGTGTGGCGTTGTAAAATAAGCACTGCTAACCACATGGGCTCAAGCGTGGCAACAATTGTAAGGTTGGCCCAGAACCAGGCAGTGTTTCATTTTGTTGTGCATAGGGTCACTATGATTCGGTACTGACTCGATGACACCTAACAACAACAACAACAAACCACAAGGTTGGCCATTCAAATCTGCCCTGCACTCATTGGAAAACCTTTATAGGGTCTTTGTGAGTCAGAAAAGACTCTTCAGCACTTAATAACAACAACAACAACATCTCTGGACTTAATTTCCAGTGAAATATTTAAACCCTACTTAACGAAATGGGACCATAGTGTTCTAACCATCAAGAGTAGCTTGTGATAAAAATTAACATTCAATACTTTGTTTTTTTACATATTTTTACAAACTAACAAATATTAAAGACAGCCTGTGATTTACCTGTAGGTTAAATTCATTTTAGACCATTTGAGAGTTCGAGGGAAAACATTGTATTCACCCACATCCGGGACTCCACATCTTGGTTTTTTCATGATATCTAAGGTGTTATCATCAAGTTTGCCTGTCACTTCTAAGCCAAAAAAAGACTGCATTTCTCGGAGCCTGTTAGCCATAGAAGTTGCTGCCGTCTTCTTCAGAATTCCAGCAAGATTCAGAGGATGGTAGTATGATTTTAGGTAGTGCTAAGAAAGAAAGATCAATAGCACTTAACAACAACAAGAAAAAATGAAACCCAAGTAAACTGTTATAAAAGAGAAGGGCATTTATGAAGTGTACCACACCACTGAAATTGGCAAAATACTCTACCTCTGCAAACTGGAAGTCTTCCTCAGACAAATCACCATCATCATCATCATCAGGAAGGGGTAGGGACCAACAATGGGACCAGCTCAAGAAGAGCAGTGCAGCCAGGACACCTGGATGCATCTTGAACTGTTATGCCTGTAAGCTGCTGCCTCTTCATGGATAACCACCTTTACTTTTATAGGCCTGCAGCAGTGAGTCATCTCTTACGGACATATTTCACCCTCCTAGCCAGTTGAAGGTAAACATGCTTACATGATGACTTTTTTTCTCTTTCTCCCAAGAACTGTGGTTTGTGGTAGAATTTGAAGGAAATAGAAAATACGGACATCTCTAGTTTCATCAGGGTCTCAAAACCCATCTGGCAAAATAAACAACCTCAGCATATTTATAGATGATGTGGGAAGAAGCAGAGAGTAGTAAAATTTTCACTTAACAAAAAATGTTTTTCTTTCCTGTAAGGAAGCAGTTACTTTTATTTATTTATATAGTTTCAGATAATAAGAATATCAATATGGTATACTTGCTCCCAAAAAGAAAACCTCTTGTCCTGCTAAAAACTTTCAGTATGTTTATAACCCAGTGGATTCTAAACTGCATTGTCTCTAAAGCAACTGCAGATAAAAATGCTCTCTGCCTGAGAGTCATGGAATTGGACTAGATGGAAACTTGGCTTTTCCGTGGTGCTGTTGTACAGCCGTAGGGTTGAGTCCTGCAGTTGGAATTTAAAATCACGGGACTGAACTTCCAACTAAGACAAGGGAGCTTCAAAAAGTTTGTTAAATTCCATTATATTTTCATTCAATATTTCCACAAACTGTGTGATGTCCCTTTGTATGAAATTCTACACACATTTTCCACAGGTCTAGGAAAACTTAGAAAAATTTTATAGAAATGCAACCATAATGGCTAACATATATTGAGGGAATACACTATGCTGGACTTCAAAAGTATTATTTAATTCTTACAACAGTCTTATAAGTAGATATCATTTATTGTGAGACTTAGTTTACATTTTACAGATGAATAACCTGAAACATAGAGAAATTAGGATTTGAACCCAGAATAGTTGACTCAAGATTTCCTGTTCTTAACCACCATCCAGTATGGTGTCAATTCCCATGCCATTTTCAGATATTTTCTCAAAAACTGAACTGCTTGGTTCCCACACCTTTGGGAGTACACATGAAAACTAGGGCTCTAGAGAAGGTCAACTTCACATTATTCTATTTTTTACTTTCAAGTTTGAATAATAGAAGTCCCCTTGGTCCAAAAACTCAGGAATATTGCCTAAGCCATTTCGATTCCTTTCAAAACCTTACTCTTTAAAATTTTATTAAATCAGAGTGACATTTTGCTCTCCTGCGGTGGTAAATTTGTAAAGCAATATAGGTCATGATCTTCAAAATTATTGAGCTTTTAGAGGAGCTCTGGTAGCGTAGTGTTTACGAGTCAGGCTGCCAACCTCAAGGTCAGCAGTTCGAAACTACCAGCGGTTCTGCAGGAGAAAGATGAGGCTTTCTGCTCTCGTAAAGATTTACAGCCTCGGAAACCCTGTGCAGGGTCACTATGAGTCGGAACTGACTCCATGGTACTTAACAACAACAACAGCAGGATAATATGCTGGACCACAAGGTCAGTTTGAACTGCAAGGTCAAACCCACCAGCTGCTACCCTGAACCGACTCCACGGCACTTAACAACAACATTAATAAATGTGGACTGCAAACCACAAGGTCGGCAGTTCAAAGACATCAGCTGCTCCTTGGAGTCAGAATTGACTCAACAGCACTTAACAACAACAACATTAACAAATGACTGAAAATGCTAGTGAATTTAAATATTAAAAGTCAGAAAGGAATTGGAGCTCAAGTCAGGGGTATATTAAAATGAAGGGAAGAAGTATTAATGCAGATTTAGAGTAAATAGCAAAGGGAATCTTAACTTGAGGGTAAATTGTTATAAGTGTCTTAGAAAACAACAACAGAAATATCATTGAAATGTTATGTAATCCATTAAGGGAACGGAATTATGTTGGGGAAGATAAGAGTCCCCACTGAATAGTTTTCATCTTGTCTAAATGCGTCTGGTAAAAAGAGATGGGGATAAGATTCTTATGATTCAATCGTGAGTAATTGTTATCATGACTAATTGCGACTGTCAGAGTTGTAAAGGTAAAAGTTTTATAACAAAAGTGGTGGAGTAGTTAGTCTTACAGTCCAGAGACAGAGGACCCTAGGATCATCAAGAGAGAAGAACACAAGCGGAATGCGGGACCCTATCCAGAGAAGCAGTGGCACCAGGGATGGAGGCCCAGATGAGAACATGGAGACAGGGAGCAGCTGAGGACTCTAGATTAGTGGGAAGAGAGAAACTGAGAGCCAGTGGCCAGGAGGCAGTTTTGCAGAATATGCCCTTTTGTGGTTGAAATTATTATATATGCCTGAGTGTTTAAAAAAAAAAAAAAAAGCTAAAATGTATAGAGAGAAATACTGTTAACTGATAGTACATGGAGGGGACTATAATCATTATAATGAAACAAAGTATATGATTTATTGAATGTAAAACTGATGATCTGCCCTGTAAACTTTCATTCAATTCACAATAAAAACTTTTGAAAAAAGAGATTGCTTTGTAGAAGTTCAAGATTAGACTTGGTTTCAATCAACAATACCAAGCAATAATTTATTTTAAGTCACTTCCACATGCAACAACATTTAATTTTATGATTAAGTGAAACTTCATTCAAAAGTTTGATTCAGCAACATAATCTTACAGGAAATTAATTCATTAAAATGCATTTGCTTTTACCAATAAACCTTTAGAATGCTTTTAAATCTCATTAGGTAATAAATAAGTCTTTGAAGAAGTTTAGAAATAAATGACATTTCATTCAATGTTTGAAAGTAGGAAAAAATAATCAAAAGATAAATTTACTTAGAGATTCTCATATTTGTAGAAATGTTATTACTCTAGAAGAAAATAAGATTTTTTTTTTAATGATCAAATCAATGAGTACAGGCTAAGCATCATCCATTCAGGATGTTTCTATGAAGAGACATGATCATAGGTGAGCCTTCTCCTTAGGAAAATGATAAATATTACCTCCTCCCCACACACACAACAAAAAAATCATTGAGAAATTATTACAAATAATCACTACTATTTTGCACCTTTAAAAATAATGTTCATTATCCAATAGCATTACTATTTTAATAGTTTCTCATTCCATTTAAGAATATAAACAGAACAAATTAAAAAAACAAAACAGGAAGGTTCATTATAATATGCTAAAAATCCCATAGAAGATTAAAATAGACATTGATTCCTTAAGAAAAGAATCAGACTGCTTGGTTATAGGCTATTGTTCCTGAAGAGTGATTTTAGACAGTGATTAAGGTGTGTGTCATGGCACTGTAACGTGTTGGCAAGCTGCTTGTCAATGCAAGTCTTTATCTCAGGTTAATTGTTAAAACGAAAGCTAGACCTCAAGATTACCACTAGTAAAATGGTTTGTGGTTTCCAATGCCACCTTTAGCACAATGAAGTAGTTACAAATTGTTCTAACAAGTCTACCAAAGCACTGGAAAATTTGAAAACCTGTAGAATGAGCAAACAAAACTGTTTGAACTGAATTAGGAGTGTATATCTACTGCTGATTCAGACATAAGCAATATGGGACTTTTCGAAACATATGTCATCATCAGTTTCTATGTTCAAAACATAATTCAAGTGAGAACCAACAATGTCCATAAATAGCCATTCAATAAATCACAGGGTGATTCCAGATTTGAAATAACATGAACAATGCACCATTTGAGTTGGATTGGACTCATGAAAATTCTGTAAGTCAAAGAATCTTTGAAGCCAGGACTTTGGGGCTTCAGTATAACCCATTGGCCTCGAATAGATTTTGACTCAGAGCAACCCTATAGGTCAGAGTAGGGTTGCTCCATAGGGTTTCTGAGGCTATCAATCTTTAGAGAGGCCGGCTATCTCATCTTTTGCCCTCAGAACAGTTGGTGGGTATAAACCACCAAGCTTTTAGTTAGCAGCACTTAAACCATTATCCACCACAGCTCTTTTGGTTTCAGTATAGGTCGTATTTTTTATTTTGTTTTCATAAAGATAACTTATTTGATTTTGTGTATTTACATGAAGCAATGATTTTATAAATACCCAGATGACTGTTTTGCTATAATTTCTGATTTCTTTTTTGCCCGTATCCTTATGAAATTAAGTCTTAATTGTTGTCAAGAAAATGGAGGACGGAATGTAAATCTAAACGTTCATACTGGTGTGGCGCTGTGGGCTAATGTGCTGGACTGCAAAGTTGGTTTGAACAGCAAGGCTGGTGGTTCAAGCTCACCAGCCGCTCCTTGGAAACCCTATACAGGGTTGCAATTAATTAGCGTAGTGGTTACCAATCGGGCTGTGAACTGCAAGGTCAGCAGTTCAAAACTACCAGCTATTCTGCGGGACAAAGATGAAGCTTTCTGCTCCTGTAAAGATTTACAGCCTTGGAAATCTGTACAGGGTCGCTATGAGTCGGAACCAACTCCATGGCACATAATCACCACCACCACCACCACCACTGCTACCTATTTAGGGAAGAATGAAAAATGGATGAAACCTGTAAGGACACTCTACTCAAGAAGTATGGAGTGGTTAAAGTTGGGAATGGGGGAGGGGGGAAGAGACCAAATAATCCTGACTTATGCCCAAAGGATGAAGATTGGTATTCACTGAGATTATATAATTAATTCCTGTTTTGTCCTTTTATCCATCCGAATAAGGGAAAATTTATGGTCTCTATATTTTAAAGGAAAAAGTAGAATATATGGGCACAGCACAACTCTACCATTATATCAAAATCTTTCATTTGGAATGAATAAAAGAAACAGCAGAGCCCTGCACTGGTAGTGAATATGGGCCTTAAGGTAGACAAACAAAAGTATTTACTTCTCTCTGAAGTGGGGATGATAAAATAAGTTTTATAGGGTGTGAGATTTAATTATAAAATATCCAGTTTATTAAAACAGCTCAATAAAGGATAGTTATAACAGCAACAAGAACAATGCTGATCTTATTTTTTTTTCTAAAGCACTTGGCAAATGGTAATGTTTAACGTATGGGAACTAC